TTGAGCTCCTTCTCCTTCCAATTCTTCAACTCCAACTCCCACTTTGCTCCTTTCTCCTGCCACTCTTCCATCTCGCTATCCATTACCCTTTCCAACTCCACGTCCTCATCGACCCACTTCTCCAGCGTCCTCACACGTTTTTCCAAACCCACAGTTCTAGTCCCAAAGACTTTACCCATTCCCTCGCCATATCTCTGCATCTCCTCCTTCCTTCTTCCTATCTCTTTCTTCTCGGTCTTGCTCATCCTCTTGCTTCTGGATATGACACTCGATCGCTCGAGCGCTTTCCTTCAAATAACTCAAGCGCTCGAGGATAAAGTCGCTGTTCTATCCTTCGTCCTCCGGATCCGGCTATTTTCCTTTCCTTTCCACTTCCTTATACCATGGCTCCACCTCTCCAGATTCCTCCTCCGTCTCCGTCCCAGAGCCCTCAACGTCGATCTCTCTTTCCGCCATCCTTCTCCTCTTCCCTCCACCTCCTCCTCTACCTTTCTCTACCTCTACGGTAGCCGCTTCGGCAAGCGGGGCCGTAGGCAACCCGCACGCCAGCCCGTCGCCGGATGACAACGACACAGGGAGCCGGGACGCTACCCCGCGTGCCGCCGGACCTTAGGGCTCCGAAACCCCTGGGCCGGTAAGTTTGCGTTGTATCGTCGTTATTTTGGTCAATCCTTTGAGTGAGAACTTTACAACCCCTCACTCACGGGCGGGTTTTTTTTATCGAAGTTGTTCTTCCCCTAGGTCGGCTGCTAAAAAGCTAACGAGCCCGTGAACCGACTGTCAGGCCCTGCCCCGGAATAAGTCCGGACGGCCCTGACAGCCGCGCCCCCCCCAAATCCCCCTCCCCGTCGGCCCGTCCGGCATGGGTGACCCTACCGGCGTGGCCCGACGGATCTTTGGGGGCCGACTTCCGAGCAACTCCCAGGAAGTCACCCATTTCCCCTCCCCGGCGCGTACCACGGAAAGAATTTCCGAGGCCGTTTGCCGGGAAAAAAAAACCCCTATTATGGGACCCGAGACCCCCCCCCATGCCAGGAGGCACGTCCCGAAGGACGTCCTCCCCAGACACAGGGCGAACCCGAGCCAATTTCCCCCCAATTGGTGCACTCTTAGACCCCAGGCTCTTCCCGCGGCCCTCCCAAGAGTTGGACTCTTGGTACTGCCCTGCGGGTCGAGACCCAGGTAGCCCCCTCACCACGTCAAGGTGGTGCACCCCGAGGGGGACTCCCTGAGGTCAGGTAACTTTCCCGAACCCTGGGATCCTCCCAGACTTTTCCAAAATCCTCGAGAATCTTCGAGACCCTTCCGGAACCGTCCAGATGTTTTCTTAACCCTACCAGAGGAAACCCCTTCCTCGGATCCAAAGGGTTTATAAGGCGTTGCGCAAAACGCAGTCAG